TTATGCAACCAATCAATCAAGACCATACTATGGATCCAATAACACTGGAAAGCAGCAGGAAAACTACAAACCGTCAATGTAGAGGGCCCCTATTTGACGGATGACTCATCTAATGGGCCTATAAAAGAAATTTATGGAATTAATGATAATTGTAATAAAAGAATTGGGCAATTGGGGAAAACTTGTGGGAAATTCGATAACGGATTTTATGCCGTTGGGGAGATTTGTGGACTTCATGTTGAATTTCTAGTAGACACTGGCTCTACTACTACACTGTTAGCTTGCAAAATGTTTGACCAAATTTTAGAAAGAAGCAAGCCCAATTTAGAACCTTCAAGATTAAATATAAAGGATGTAAATGGAAATACAATTACAGCTTATGGTCAGAGCATAATGAACCTGAATTTTAATGGTAAACTATTTCCCCAAACTATCATAGTGTGTGATATCAGTCCAGATGCTATTATTGGACAAGACTTCCTGTTACATTATGTCAACAAAATTGATTATCAGCGTATGGTGTTACAGACCAGTTTGACAGACATTCAATGTTGGGTTGCTGGAGAAACTCAGATGGTGTGCCGTGTAGAAGTCAAAGAAGAAATTACCATACCTGCAAATTCAAGAATGTTTATACCTGTGGATATCCCCTTCTGTGAAAAATTGAGTGAGAGCTGTATGATTGAACCATCTGTACGACTGTTTGACGAGAAAAATATAGCCATTTTGCCTGCCATACTACAAACTTCTGCTGAAAACAAAGTTGTTAGTCTGCATAATTTTAATGATACTGATATCAAGATATATCCAAAAATGAAGTTAGGAGATTGTGAATCATATTATGAGAAGAACAGTATTGCTGTTTGTTGTACAGAGGTTTCTTTAGATGAAAATCCAGAAGAATCTAATTTACCAGAATATTTGAAAGAGTTATGGGAAAGAAGTTGCATTCATTTGAATGAAAACGAAAGTATAGATTTTGCCAATCTACTTAAAAGATACAAAATTGTATTCTCAAAGTCTTCAGACGACATAGGAAGGACCCATTTAATCCAACATGAAATAAATACTGGAAATGCAGTACCAATTAGACAGCCACCAAGAAGACTTCCTTTTGGCAAGAGGCAGATTGAAAAAGATGAGATCCAGAGAATGTTGAAGTTAGGAGTAATAGAACCCTCTACCAGTAGCTGGTCTTCACCTGTTGTTTTAATTGCCAAGAAAGGAGGCCAAGGTGGAACTCGTTTTTGTGTTGATTTTCGTGGCGTAAACGGACTAATGACGGAAAAAATAGCCTACCCAATTCCAAGAATAGATGACTGCCTTGATGCTCTTTCTACAGCCAGTTTCTACGGATGTATGGACTTAAATAGTGGACTTTGGCAGCTGGAGATGAAAGAATCTGATAAAGAAAAGACAGCCTTTGCAACTAGCCAAGGATTATACCAATTTATTGTAATGCCATTTGGGTTAGCCAATGCCCCCAACAGTTTTCAGAGATTAATGGAGAGTGTATTACGTGGGTTACAGTGGGAGGAATGTTTATTATATCTAGATGATATTATTGTCCCTGCCTCTACAGTACAAGAATCAATCGAAAGACTTGAGCATGTGTTCCAAAGATTGTTAGACTCAGGATTGAAATTGAAACCCTCAAAATGCATATTTTTTCAGAAAAAGGTCAAATTTTTAGGTCACATTGTCTCTGAAAATGGTATTCAAACAGATCCAGAGAAAACAGAAGCTGTACAAAAATGGCCCAGGCCCAAGAACCAGAAACAGATGCGCAGTTTCCTAGGACTATGTTCCTACTACAGAAGATTCGTTCCCAAATTTGCTGAAATAGCCAGACCCTTACATAAACTTTGTGAAAAATATGCTGCATTCAACTGGACAGATAACTGTGAAGAAGCTTTCACTAGGCTTAAAGAAGTTTCAACCTCACCCCCAATCCTAGGATATCCTATAATTGGATCTAAATTTATCCTTGATACTGATGCTAGTGATAAGGCATTGGGAGCAGTACTTTCCCAAGAGCAGGACGGACAAGAAAGAGTTATTGCTTACATGAGCAAAGCCATGACCAAACCTGAGCAGAGCTACTGTGTGACTCGCAAAGAATTATTGGCTGTTGTTTGTGCTCTTCGCCACTTCCATTCCTATCTCTATGGACAACCCATTTTAATAAGGACTGATAATTCTGCTGTCAGCTGGATGAGGAACTTAAAGGCACCAACTGGCCAAGTTGCAAGGTGGCTGCAAGAACTTGGAACTTATGATCTTACAGTTGTACACCGGCCTGGTCTAAAACATAGGAATGCAGATGCACTTTCCAGAAATCCTTGTGCTTCATGTTCCAGACAAGAGAGTGTTAACAACGCCCAAGACAGTTGTGATGAAGACTCTGAAGGAAAAGAACATTTATCAGTTAGAACAGTAACACGTAGTAAAGCAGATACCAGTCCAACAAGGAACCAGTTTGTACTTTTAGGGTGGGATGTCAATACTTTAAGACAACAGCAGTTACAAGACAAAATTATTGGTCAGTTATTCATAAAATTTGAAGACAAAGAGACAAAACCGGAATGGAATTCACTATCTGAGGAATCAACAGATTTAAAAACCTTATGGAACATGTGGGACAGATTTGAAATTTACAATGGCGTATTATATGTAAATTGGATTGATAATTTGGAACAAACTCACTTGAGACTTGTAGTACCTGAGTCTTACAAAGATACTGTTTTAAAATATAACCATGATATACCCTCTGCTGGACACCTAGGTGTAGAGAAAACCGTGGAGAAGATTAAACAGCACTTTTACTGGCCCAGAATGAAAGTCTGCATTCAAGATTATATTAGAAAGTGTGATAGTTGTGCCTCAAGAAAACCAGTGTTGAAACAAAGTTCTAGAGCTCCACTAGGGAATTATAATGTTGGTGCTCCAATGGAAAGAATTGCAATTGACATCTTGGGACCCTTGCCAAAGACACGACTAGGTAACAGATTTTGTCTGGTTTTGACAGATTGTTTTTCTAAATGGACAGACGCTTATGGAATTCCAGACCAAGAAGCAGCAACAGTGGCCAAGATATTTGTTAATGAATTTGTTTGTAAATTTGGTACCCCCTTGCAGATCCATACAGACCAAGGAGCAAATTTCGAATCCAAAATTTTCAAGGAAATGTGTGAATTGTTATGTATTGACAAAACCAGATCAACTTCTTTTCATCCACAGTCTAATGGCTGTGTTGAAAGGTTTAACCGTACTTTAACGAATATGTTAAGTATGTACTGTGCAAAAGACCAAGCTGTTTGGGATGAATATTTGCCTCAAGTTTTACTTGCCTACAGATCATCAGTTCATTCAACCACTGGATTTACACCAAATTTCCTAACCTTTGGAAGGGAAGTAACTCTTCCATTACAAGCTGTAATTCCAATGCCTTCCCCAGCCCAAGATTATACTACATGTAAAGAAGACTTTGTTATAGACCTGCAAAATAGATTACAAACAGTTCATGAATTAGCCCGCAAGAATTTGAAAAATAAGGTCCAGTATCAAAAGAAGTATTATGATGTAAAATCAAAGAAAAGGATGTTTACAGTGGGACAACGAGTGTGGCTGAATGACCCAACCCGGAAAATTGGTGTATGTTCTAAACTAAGTGCTAAATGGAAAGGACCATACATTATTATTAGATGTATGGATGACACTACCTATATTGTAAAAAAGACTGCTAAGCAGATGGCAAAGGCCTACCATGTAAATAGACTAATGCCATATGAAGGACAAAAGCTGCATGTGTGGATGAAGAAAATACAACAGATCAAATGAGTTAGTGAATTATTTTTATGAAATGAAGATGTATATTGTGAATATTTGACTTATGTGATATGATAAATAAATTGTTGATTTTATTTTATTGTTACTCATGAACTGGTGCCTTGTAAATTTTATGCCTATGATGAGGTGTAAAAAGGAAGTTAGACCAACCAGGTGCGGACGTATTTCAGTTTTTATTTTGGTTCTTCAATGGACGCATTGATGTTTTGATATATAACAGGTGTGTTATTTTAACAATCTTGGTGATGGACGCATTGTCGAGAGGCGGATCCGTCAACTAGAAAGGGCTACAAGGGACTGGACTGGCCATCCATGAAATTGGTAGTCGCTCTGTGGTTTCACAGTGGTGAGCCACGTCCTTTGCGGGCAAAGGACTTGTACTGATACGCCAACTGGATTTGGTATTGGAAATTATAAAATGTGTCAAGGCTGTTTAACCCTGTATAAAATAATTCACTAGCTTGTTAAGAACTAAGATGATGTGGTCAGTGTCCTGTCAAGACTGGGGATTCCTATTATTTACCCAATAATTCAATAAATTAGTGTTCATGTGCTGAGTACTATCATAATATAATATATAGATGTTACATAATATATATATTTACTATAAAAAAAAAATTTAAAAAAAAAACCCAACAAAGAAAACCAAGTCAAGATGTTTTACTTCAACAAAGACATTCATTTGATTAAATGAAATGAGTTAATGTGCATATATCGTCCATACGCAAACTGTCCATGTACTATATATTATGGTCACCTGTCCAGAGTACCAAGTTTTTCTGTGCATCTCTAAAGTGTTTCAAGGATACAAGACTGGAGTAACCTGACCTTTCAGCTACAGCACCATTCAAATAATCTTCATACCTACAAAACAAATTAAAAGAACAATGTTAAATATATTTCTAATAATTATCTATATACAAGTTATACAATATATATATATATATATATATATATATCAAATGTGACCGCACACTTACAGAGATGTTCTGTTTTCAGATGGAAAAAGAATGCTGGATATGTCCGGAAAAGTTTGACACCACCAAACAGCTGAAATCACATTTAGCAAGCAGCATACATTCTAAGATGGAAGTGGTGTGTCCCTTTTGTCTGGACAGGCCAACTAAGTATAAAAGAGTCTAGGAGTTGAAGGACCATTGTAACCGGTTCCACAAAGAATCCATGCAAGACATGAGACCGGACGTTCTTTCGGAAGGGAATGCTTACTACCTTGCTGTGCATCCGGCATGTTACAGGAAGGTAGTTAGGCCCACTGCCTTTTATTCACCACCAGCAAGAGACCTAAAGAAAGCCATGCAGGCATGGATGAAGAAGTCGAAAGACACTTACAGGACGCCAGAAGAGTGGGAGCAGGGATGGAAGGAAGGAACAAAATTTGATGGGCCTCCAGGTGAGGAACTTTTCCAACCAGTATACTCCGGGGATGAGACACGGGCGGCCTCATCCTCTTCCATGGATATGGACATAACAAAACCTGATGCCTGGCGCATAACTTATGTGGCACTGGTGCCACAGAGTATCATGGTAGAAGCCGTTTTTGGAAGGGAAACATATCGATTTGCCATTGCAGATACATTGCTGACAGATGTCAAATATGTATCTGCATTGACAAGGAGAATGCTGGCCATACCGCAGGGAGGTAAACAATCCGCTGGAAGGAAACACAAGTTGCTTGGGAAAGCATACAGTGACAGAGTAACGCTGGCCGTGAAATTACTAGGACTTCCAGAAAAATACATTACCAATATTCATCGTTTAGAGAGTGATTTTTATACCTTACCATCAACAGAACTTTTTGCTCCTCCCACTAAAAATCCAGAAATACTCAAAAAGAAAAGCATTTTGAAACCAACTATTTCGGCCAAGAAAACTTCAAAAATTTCATTAACAGTCAGTAAGAAACCAGAAAAACCATCCATCAAATCATCTTCCAGCAACACACCATCCTCTGCACCAGTGACAGTTGTACCATCAATTCCAAAGACCTCTTCACCTAAACCATCAACACCACCTACAACGCCGGCCGTTACCTTAGCATTATCTCCAATTTCTACCGGATCCTTCTCACCAGCTATGCCACCTGTATCTCCCCCAGCAAAGAAGCCAAAGATTTCGACAAAGACCATACCATACACACCTGAAAAACCCACTCAACCCGGACCGACATATATACCGACACCAAAACAGTTGCTGGCGACGATAACTACAGAAAATATACCTAGTGTAGAGCTAAGGACACCTGCTGAGCGGGCAACCTCGCTGCTACGTCTTGGTGGAATGCCATTGTTCCCTCCAGCACGGCGGGACTGGACTGGGGAGGTCCAGGTGAAACTTCCAGGAGATGTTCTCACCAAGGACTGGCCTCCTCAGGGCTGGAAGGACATGACCCCCGACACCAGGAAGTTAAACTGGGAATATATTGCTTTCCAATATGAGCAGGTCTCCAATAATACAACTATACCTAGTCGAGCCGGACTCCTAGACAAATATAATATGTTTGCTTTACCGGGAACGTCACCGCATAATAAGATTAAAGATCTTAGCAGAACCATAATGAAGAACAGATACTATATGTATGAGAATTTAGGATTAATTGCCACCGAAGGGATTAAGCCGGATCTTTCCACTACTTTCATGCTGGACATGCTGGAGAAAGCAAGCGCTAGTCGCGATAAAACCACAGACCATATTTGCCATGCTTTGGATAAGGCTGGCATTCCTTTGAGATTAGACGCTTAAATTTAATTCATAAAATATTGCTGGACATTATATGAAAACACTATATCAATTATTTTGGACTTTAACAAACAAATACCGTCCGTTACTGCAGATACAAAAGATTACAGATTATGAACACTTGAGTGTATGAAATCATCAATGTGACAATGGGGGGTGGATTTTACTTGATATTGAAATTTGTTATGATATGCATTGAGTTGTGTTGTACAAGAAATGAGTGAAATATTTATTGAATTCGGGAGAATTCCACCACTTTAAGGTGGGGAGGGTGTAATGTGCAGGGTGTACCCCCCCCTGACATATTTTTTAAATTATTGGAAATCCACATTTCCTTTTATTTTTCATGTTTTGCCAATTTACAAGTTCTTGTTGATAATGTTTGGCTAAGGACCTTTGTTATATTAAAATATTTGGTAATTTTGCTTGTTGCGAGCCAGGAAATAGTTTCAATGGAGTATTTCATTATTTGTTAACTTGTTCATAAGTTCAAAGTTAATCATGTTTGTTGTTTTCTTTTCATAAATTTCACAGGGCTTTAAATCATATAAAAGTAAAGGCCGTAGAACTTCCACGTTTAACTGCTGCTTTATATTTTTGTAAAGTAATCATTACATGTTTAAAATAAGAAGTAAACAGAATATTGATTCTCAGCTGATCGTAATCGATCACCATGTAAACAAAGTCACATGACCGTCTAGACGTCTATGAATTCGTCTGCTATTTATTTTCTTTGAGATTAGTATTTTGCAAGATCAGTAAACGTGGAAACATAAATTTCAATTAACAATTTCTTATTATAATTATGTATCTAAATGATATGAATGTGCCGCCCTTGGGTTATTTCTGCACTAAGCCTGTTTACAATGTGATTACGCCATTTTTTGTATCAAAGCGCTTTACCCCAAATCATGTTTTGCTTGCCCGATTAAAATTTACATAATGTACGACGTTCTAACCTATAGTCCCGCTTTCCTTAAAGTCATAGCTAATAAAGCGCCACACCCGGGCAAGCTGTCAACTCTTAAGTAACTCCAAATTCATGAAAGTTCAGGCAATTGCCCGGCTCAACTTGTCCCACCATTTTTGTTTTCATTGTTACGGTTGGCCAATACATGTCACGTGACATATAAATTTTATTATATAAGGAGCGCCGCTTTCATAATATGGCGAATAGCTGCCGTGGCGGGTAACTTGAAATACCAAAATATAGAAGTATAAATATTTGCAAGAACAAAACAACACAGTAGAGGTATGAATATTTATTATACAATTTTTATACCAATTTTTACTCAGCACATGAACGTACAGAATTTAAATGGGAAATAAGGATAAGAAACGGCTGTCAGTTCCTACCTTGTCCAGTTGCCCCAGAGTGTTAACAAAGTAATCATGCAGTTATTCCCCATCACATCGACCTTTTTAACCACAGATAATTAACAAGGGACCATTAATTAGGATTTCACTAAAGATAAACTGTTATTTCCGGCCTGACATAATTAGTTATATGATTGTGCCAATTGTTTGGTATTTGGATGTGCCATCACAATCTTAAATATAGATTTTTCTTACCCTAAATTATACATGCTTCATCACCAGGCTTAGTCAAGGGTGACATAGTTATAGAAACAATATAAGAAGAATATATTTCATTCCTGTATTTTACCATATTATTATATTTATGTGCTAATAAATATTTAGTCCTGTGGATTATGCATTATAGTTAGTGAAATATGAATGTCAAGTAAATGGTAAATCAACTTACAACTTCCAAAATGAGCAAAGACTGTTTTCTTGACTAGAAATGGATCCTTCTGTTCACTAATCATCTTAGTGCTGGTGCACTAAACTTCATAAGATTAAGATTATACGTTTTGGGCAGTTGTCTTGTGGCTGGGCAGATATTTCTCTGTTACAGGCAGGCACAATTGGTCCATAATGGCTGACCATCCAGAGACATATATATATATATACACGTTTAAAATTGGTTATTGCTGCAACCTTTATAGAGACTTACCCAAATGATATAATTATATTGAAGCCTACCCCAGGTCCCTTACAATATTTAGGCTGTATCTGTAACAAAAACAAATCATGAATTAGTATCAGCTTCAAATAGAGACTATTGGCTGTTGCAATCAATTATAAAATAAATGTCACTCATATTTTATGTTAAATCCTAAATTGGACACAAGTATATTTATTATATTTTACAATTACTACGCATTCTTGTTAAAAGTTACTTCATTAGATTATAAATTTGAACAAAAAGAAATATTTAGACTAATTTGAAATAAAATCTTATTTGAGCTTTTTTCCCAAGGAAAACTGATTGTATTACCCAACACATATAAACAGTCTAAAGTACATTTGTAATGACCAAATACCTACATGTTCATCATTCTAATGTGCTATCTACCATAAAACCATCTTCATTGTATGGGAGTGGAACATATTTAGGCTATATCTGTAACAAAAACAAAAATTATAAATCAGTATCAGCTTTAAATAGATAATATTGGTTGTTGCAATTAATTCAAAATTAATATGATGCATTTTTTATGTCAAATCCTTATTTGGACACAAAAAAATTAAAACAATTTCAATACGTTCTCATTAAGATAATCTTCATATTAAAGTGTATAAATTTGAATAAAAGAAATTCTAAACCAATTTGTCATCAAATCTAATTTAAGATGTTGTTCAAGGGAAAACTGATTTTTGCTACCTGCAAAACATATAAACATAGTTTAAAGTACAATTAGAAATACCAAATACCTACATGCTACGCATCCGCATGTATGATCGATCTACCTTGAAACCATCTTCATTGTCTAGGAGTGTAACATATTTAGGCTGTATCTGTAACAAAAACAAAAATTCAAAATCAGTATCAGCTTTAAATGGAGAATATTGGTTGTTGCAATTAATTCAAAATTAATATAATGCATTTTTTATGTCAAATCCTATTTTAGAGAAAAGTATATAAACAATTTCTATACATTCTCATTAAAACAATCTTTATATAGACCATTAGTTGAAGAGAGAAAGACATCATTATGGTACAAAGAAAAAAAGACGACCAATTAAACAACGTTCAACAAATATAAAACAGGTATCTTGAGGTAAACTCACCGAATTCTTCCACTAAATTTCTCATTTACAAATATCTAACAAATTTAAATATTAACATAAAGAAATCTCGAAAAATAGACATGCAGTAGCAAAGAATGTATAGGTATGATGGTGGAGTGTATATTGATGTAAATAAAGTTATTTGTTTTCTAATAAGGGATACAACCATTGATTGTTAGGATTCAATAGTAGCAAGCAAACAAACATACCAGTCAACATAACGTCAATCCACATTTATTGAATGAAGTGGAATATGTTACTTTAAACAAAGTTTAGTGTCCAAAAAATGACATTAGCATCAGACACAAGTTTTTCAACTTAGAACGTCTTCTCCGTTACATGAGTCTTAAATAGACAATACGCGCGTATGGTGTGCCAAAAGTATATTATTGATGAGTTTTGTACATGATAAGTTAACAATTATTTCACACTTCGAACATCATTCAAGGAAAATGATGTTAATGTTCGCATGCGGCGATGTACGATTCAGCTTCAAAATATTTTGGATTTTGACTTACTTTTTTTCTGAAAATATTTTAAAAATTTAGACAACAGGAGTTTATCGATGCTCAAAAACTCATAAAAAGATTACAAAGATACAAATCAATGTAACAAACACAAACTGAGGGAATCGCATGAACTCCAAAAGAAGCGAGACCGAGTGCGTCGATAAGGTAAACGTATCCCGCTATGCAAGCATCACCAAACATGCGAATTATCCGAAACACAGTTCCCCGGTTATCGAATCTTAAACATATTACTTCTAATTCACCAGACCATGACTTCAATCTGAAACTACTAGAACATATAGAGTGGCACTCGGATCAAAACTCCAAAATATTCTCAAATAAAGCGTAGGCCGTCTGTGCCAGGGGATATGTCGGTGAAACGAAAGACAGGCTAAACAATCGAATGTGCGGCCACAAATAAGGCATTAGCAAAAAGTTCAAAGGTTATTGTTTATCAACATTTTGGTATTGATAATTAACATGATAACATATACTCCGACGATATTCACTAAAATTTAAACCGGATCAATAATGGGGATGTTCATTGCTACTAATGAATTTCAACCAAATATGAAGAACTGGTCATTCCTTCCATGTACAAAATAGCCAAATTACAAATTTCATTTCAAATGAATGTATTGCTGGGTCCGTAAAATTTTTCCAGTTTTTTTTCAAAATTATTCATTTATTCAATCAACCAATGAAAAGCGGGTTTGAGAGTTAATAAAGAACTATCTACTATAGGGGCGGTGTGAATATGATGCGGATATCTGAAATGTCCAAACATTTGTCAGAGTACGTGCAATCTATGTCTCTTTCCTCGCGCAATAGTATAAAATAGTTGACTTCTCTACCATTTTCAAATGTATTCCTCATTTCAGACATAAATAAATAATGACAGAAATAGTCCAACTTTGTTTCATAAAGAAAAATGGCCAACGAGGTACACATATCTTGTTGAAATAAGAGATAAGTCGTACTTCGTAAAAAACACTCTTATCTAAACAAAAGGTTCTGTGAAACTGACATTATCAGTGGTTGTTTAAATGTTTGTATTGTTTTGGCACGCTTCAGTGTGATTGTTGGGCTAAATTATGACAGTAAATGTTAGATTCCTTTTATTGATATTCTTCCATGGCTTTTTTATTCAATTCACAGTTGTGTCGTGATCGTCAGTTTGCAAAGAATTCCGCTCAAACCGGTGCTAGGGGCCGTCTTAAACTTGCAGTGAGAAGGTTTTTGCTCCGTGTTGAAAGCCTCCGTGTGATTTTGAGATGAAGAACTGATTTTAAGTAATGGATGGATACCCAATATCCTTTCCGTTCTATTATCAAGATGCTTGATTTTTTATAAACATAT